CCTGAAATATTTCAGTTGGTCTATAATGAATCTGAAATATATGAAAGTTTCATTTTTATCATTACATTATGGAAAATAATGACCTTTATCACAATATGCTAATTTTTTGAGAAGGACCTGTATATGAATGAGTCAAGACAGCTGATGAAGTAGCACAATTACTTTGGACATATCTGGACAGATAATTTGTCAGGTAGCTGTTTTAACTACAAAGTACTTAAATGCATTGTTTCACAGCAAAGACAACCAGAAAATTTGGAAAGCTCTTCACAGAAAAAAAAAAAAAGGGAAATAGATGAGGGACAGGCAACACCCCAAAACAAAATGTGCTGTGTGATGCAGTCCAGTGGAGCAAAAGATATTCAGAACCACCTCTCCACAGAGGCACGAGACAACGCAAGAGAACCAGCTCTTCATCCAGCTGTCGAACTACATCTCAACAAAAGTTACTCTTTCTGATCAATGTGTTCATATTTTAGACAGAAAAGATAAATGGTTTAAGAGAAATGCGAGAATACAACTTTAAATATCCAATTAAGTTAAGTATCCAGTTATTTAAATAATAGGAGACAGTTTGTACAGGTAAACCATGTAAGATCAGAATTTTGTGTGAATGGATGTGAAGTTCCTCAGGGCTTTGTGTTAGGACCAAAGTTGTTTATTTTGTATGTGAATGATCTGGTTGATGTGTCAGGGCTTTTGAAGTGTGTTTTATTTGCAGATGACACCACATTTTTTGTTTTGTTTGGGTGAAGATATTGAACAGATGAGATAATACAGACAGAATTTGTAAATATACGAACTTGGTTCCAACTTAATAAGTTTCCATTAAATTTGGGGAAAAAACAAACAAACTACATGATATTTAGTAATAGAAAGAACATAATCGAAGTCCCATTTAAAATTGAGAATACTGACATTCATAGAGTTAATGGAAAAAAATTTTTTGTTGTCGTTATTGATGAGAAACTGACATAGAAATCTTATGTAAATTAATTAAGAATAAAATAGCAAAATCGATTGCATTACAGTATAAAGTAAAATAATTTTTGAATGACAAAGCTTTGTATATATTGTATAATGTAATGATTGTTCCATATTGAATCTATTGTATTGAAGTTTGGGGAAAAGCATGCAAAACAATTACAAACACTAATTTATTTTACAAAAAAAAGCTAGAATTATTAGTAGGAAGTGCTATGGTTACCTAACAAATATATTATTTCACCAGTTGAAATTATTAAAATGTTATGATTTGGTTGAATATAGATTTTACAAGTCATGTATAAAGCTCATAAAACATCCATCCATCCATCCATTATATTTGCCCGCTTATTCCATTTTGGGTCACGGGGGTCGCTGGTGCCCATGTCCAGCAATCACTGTGCGAGGGGCGGGGTACACCCTGGACGGGTCGCAAGTCCATCACAGGGCCACATAGAGACAAACGAGACAAACAACCATTCACTCTCCCACTCACACCTAGGGACAATTTAGAGTTACCAATCAGCCTAACATGCATGTTTTTGGCCTGTGGGAGGAAACCGGAGTACCCGGAGAAAACCCACGCATGCACGGAGAGAACATGCAAACTCCACCCAGAAGGCCCCTGGACCGGGGTTTGAACCAAGGACCTTCTCCCTGAGAGGCAGCAGCTCTACCAGTTGCGCCACTTGTAAAACATATTACCCACAAATATTCAATATAAATTAGTTAAAAAAGAGAGTCATTATAACCTTAAGGGAAAGGAAATGTTTGTAAAACCTCCATTTAGAACTAGTCTGAAGGAGCGCTGCGTTGTAATTCAGGGAATAGGATTGTGGAATTGCCTGGATATCAGCATAACAAATTTCTAAAACATTTTATATGTTTAAAAAGACGATTAAGTTAAATTGTTAGGAAAGCATGGTGCCAGGTGAAGGATACCTAACATTTTTGTTTTCACCTTGGAGATTGTTCAAGCCTAAGTTGCTGTTTGTTTGCAGTTATTTTATTTTTTAATGAGGGGCACATATTATAAGAATATTTTTCTTATTTCTGCTCTCCTTTTCATTCAACGTTTTTTCTTTATTTATGAATTTGTTTTGTTTATTTTGTTTCTTTTAAATAAATGAATAAAATAATAAAAAAATATGGGAAGAGGTTTTGATTTCAACTTTTTACATCATAAAATGCTGTTTAATCTAATTCTGATCAGTTTCACATCATTTTAAAATCTTCTTGCATATATGACCAAAATGTCTCCCGTCTGAACAAGAAGGCCCTAACAACCCTCTGAAGGGAGAGTGATTTGAAAGTGGGTTCAACCTGCATAGTTAGAGCAAATTACTACAGTTTTAAATGTTCACTTCAGTTCAAACTGAGAAAACACCTCCAATGAGTCGTTAAGCATGTTTCTTAAAAGATGAAAAGTCAAGCCACGTTTTAATACTAAAGGAATTAAACATTTTTAGATGTCACATCATTATTTCAACCACTGGATGGCGTTACCTCACGAGTCACTCATCCCAGTTTTAACCAGCAGATGGCGCTGTTTCTGAGCTTACTCATTACTCGAAGTCCCTCCTCTTCCTCAAAATCCAACAACCATAAAATGCTTCCAGTAAATGACCTAAATTGTTTTACTCACAGCAAAAGTTAGCCAGATGTCAAATAATAATAAAATGATAAAGCAGCTTCCAGGATATGTTTTTATATACTTCACTATCATAGTTCCTTCTTCTTTATCTTTATGGTGACGATCAATGTTGGCCACACTTTTAATCCAGTAATGCAGGTTTTTACAAGGAAGATAGACTTTTACCCAGAAACTAAAGGTTAAGTAGACAAATTACACAACTTTTACATTGACTCTTCCAAGTGTCTTGTTTTTTGAGTCCAGAATCAGACTTTGTTGTCTGGAGCGTCCTTTTGAAAATTAGATTTAAATGCAGCACTGATTACTCAAGTCACATATTCATTATCAAGCTTCTTTACTGCTTGGTTATTATTGCTTTAACGCTGAACGACTCAGCCTGTTCACTATGAACTTTGATTTTATTGCCATGCTGATGCTGTTTTAATTTTGCTTGATGGTCTTCCTCTTTTCTTATACATTAAAAAGTTTATCTTCTTCTCCTTGTATTTTATTTCAAGTTAAACTTCAACAGATACATTTGCAAGATAGAAAAGACTCAAAGAAAGCATGTACATTCTTGTGTGATTGTTACTTTTTTATTTTATATTTACTATTATACAATTTATATATGTGGTTTTAGTTTATGTGCAACAAACCATCACACAAAAATCATAGTAAGCAAATCAGTTTATTAATCAAAATAAGCAATTACAAATCATATAAAACAAAATATATATAAAAAAAGAAAAGACGCAACACAAAACTATCTTAATCCTGAGAGTTGTCGTCAGAGCAGCAGGTCAAATTATATCACAAAATAACTTTTTACGTATAAAATGTTTGAATGGCAAACGTAGTTCATGAAATCATGAAGAATATAAGAAATGGTTTTAAAAAGTTTCACTACAGGAAAAATAAACAGTAACTTGTGCAAAGAAAGGTCACTGCTTAGTAATGATTAATTTACAGGGTGAGAGAAAGCCTGAGCAAATATTTCAGAAACAAACGTCTGAGCTGGGAAAGTTTTTGTTTCCTGCAGAGAAGCACGAACCAAAACACTTCTGCATGTCACATTCAACACATGCATATTACATGTTATAATAAAGTGAAATCCTCTTACAAAAATAAAAAAAAATGAATCATTAAAAGTTACCTCGTCACTAAACAGCTGCTAGTTGCACAAATTAAAGTTAATATGCAGCCTAGCTTCTTTCTGCCATTAACTACACCTTCACTGATACTTTGATTGTTTATGTATTTTATGCTGAACCACAACGTGAAATAATTCACGTTTTAATTATGCAGTGTTCACATGCAATGACTGAACCAGTCACTTTCATTCTTTTACTTCAGTTTGATCATACTTTAAAACTGAACAATACTGGCTAAAATACAACACTAAAACCTTTGTTTCATAAGTGTAAAATGTTCTTTTCTACCCATCTTGGTGGCACAAGTTTCAAAACATACTTTCCTACAGTGTTTATTCTTATACGCACTCACACACACGCACACACATACACACATACGTACATATATACATACATACATACATACACTACATATATACATACATACATTCAGTACATACGGTACATACATACATAGTACATACATACAGTACGTACATATGTACAAACATACATACATACATACATACATACATACATATGAACTAAATTACTTCATTTAATTGATAATCAAAGCTTCCATGTAAAACTTGAAAAACTTATTGAACTTGTGTAATTCTTTAAAGTGCTTACTCTTTACAGTCAATTTATTAGGTTAAGGAATAATACATTTTTAACAAGTTACTGAATCATTCTTAACTTTCCCCTAAATTACTTAGTTCTGCTTAAACAAAATCCTTGCTTGAAAAAAGTTGATGTCCTTTGCAATAAACATGACACAATGCATGAAAGATAAATTACTGCATGTCACATAGTATGAATTTTAATCATTATTCATGTTTAGAGGATATCGGTTTATTCAAGATATAAACGTATTTTTGATGCACCTATTTTAGACAAACATTCTTGTAGAACTTTATCTTTTCTATTTCCATTTCACAGCTCATCTGCAAACCTGAGCTCTCACTAAAATTGTACGAGTCGCGTCAGACACTATCAGAACACTGAGGAACTTTAAGCTGATGTAAACAGGACACTTTAACTGCTTCCCTCCCTTTTCTAGGACCACATGAAATAATTGCAGGGAAATGTTCTGCCTTCCTGACTTCAGACATGGCAGTAACTGTAAAACTTGGTTGATTATTTAAAGCTTAAGTGCCATCACAGGGTAAAGTCTGGTTTAGATCTGTCAACCATAAATACACTGATAGGAAAACATCTTCTGTTATCAGGCCCAGACTGGCCTGCATCAGCTACATTAAACGCTTTTGACTTTTGTCAACTTGAGCGTAAATTTGTGCGTTAACGTCATGAGGAGGGGGGACGTTCTCTCTCTGCAGGCGAGCTTTGTAGGTGGGGGGAGGAGGGGGTGGAGGTCTGCTGCTGTTCCCTCTGGTTGGAGCGAAGTTTGTTGTGGTTCCATTTAACTCCAACGAGACTGTCCTTCCAAATTGACTCTTAGGAAACCTGGGGTCTGGAAAGTTCATATACTGCAAAAAGGAAATAATTTTGGGTCAGAAAGTCATGACAGAGAAAATCTTTAAACCTTAACTTCACTGATAGCTTTATAAAAATAATCAATTTGTTCAGTGAAACAAACGTAACTTCAGCTTCACTGTGTCTCGTTCTTCCCACCGTCCTGCTGGGCTGGTTCATATTATGATTATAACAAATAACAGTTTGAGACAGTGTCGCCATGTGCCTTGAATATGTTCATTTCTTGTTTAAATGCAAATTAATTAACTTATGACCCTTTAAAATATATTTTTCTTATCTAGTTTTTAATAACATGTCTGGTGTATAACTTTTGGAGATCACTGCAAACCTTTTGTCCCATTGAAGTCCCTGCATGTTAAAATTGATAATATCCTCATGTCTGCATTATTGCTATGCTGAGTAGATATTTCCACAGCTGGGGTGCCTCTCAAGAGACAAAAAATACGGCACAGTTGTTTTCATTTTTTTGCTTTCATGTGTTTAAGCTTAAATTTTTAAAGATCAACACTTTCCCAATGTGTATGCTCAAATCTAGTATGCTTCATTAAACACAAATAACATGATTTATTTTTTTTAAATATGGTCATTGTTCAATAAGAGAAATGAAGATTCCAACTAAGAGTAAAAGTTAATTTATCAGGCCTGTAAATTCTGGGAAAAGAAGTGCAGTGTCAATTATTGTAGATCCTGGCTTGAGCACTTTTTTTTCTCACCGGAGCAGAAGTTTGTTCACCAACATCAGGCTGAGGAGCCGGTTTCGTCCCTCGCTGCATGTGGACATCATAGGTGGGAGGAGGAGGAGGTGGTGGTTTGTTTTTGTTCACTCTGATCTGAGCGTAGTTTGACGAAGCATCTTCAAACTCCACCTGAGCTGGCCGGACTCTATCGTTCTTAGGAAGGTTGAGGTCTGCAGAGTTCAGCTGCTGCAGAAGAAAAATATCGTGAGGCAAAGTTCATCAAGTTTTGTCTAATAGCCACAAATAAAACGACAAATGATTTTGTTCAGGGTGCCTGAGACAAACATTTACTGTCCAACACGTCCAGTTCATGTTGGTCCATTTTTACTGGTCAAAGTCCAAAGCAGAGTGCTGCTCTAAAGCTCTAGTTAATTCTTGACAGAGGGGTAGCTGGGGAGGAGAGCGTCTTTTTGAATCTGATACACTATAGCCAGTACTCAGTATTTTATAGTATCAATTAAATATTACAAGTTTATTGGAAGATTGTTAGCTGATCACTCTTTTTTTTTATGTGTCAATATGTGTTATAATTTCTTGTTCTGTGTAACACTGTCCTTTAGTCCAACATTTTTCAGTCAGGTCATCTGGACAGTTTCTTTTTTTTGTGCTGAAACGTTTCGCCTTCGGTCCGGAAGGCTTCATCAGTCAAGGAAACACACAACAAAACTGATTCATCCCCCAACAGCTTACTCCAAAGTGGAACAAACCAGTTCTGCTTGTGATTAGATGATCTCTTTGGTACGCCCCCTCCACCATTGCCGGCCCTCTTTGTCAAACTGGTTGAAAACAACAAAGTCCATGCTCAATAATCCAGGTATAAAATCCAACATTTTTCAGTCAGGTCTTTTAGTCTTATAAATACTGATGGTAACATTTCTATTATTGTCCACAGATGTCTCAAGATATGTATATATATATATATATATCAGAGTCAGAGTCAGAGTTTCTTTATTGTCATTCGCACCTCATGTGGTACATGTGGTGGAGCGAAATTATGTACGCAGGGTCCCAGTTACATCCAACAATAAAATGTATAAGAAAAACAGTAATAACATCTAAGATATGAACTAAGAAAAACATCAACTAAATATACACTAAGCACTCATAACATAAAACATTGAACATCACCACAAACATGAACATGAGTCTGTGAGCAGATGTGCACGCATGAACACATCAACATTGAAACAGATCAGCAGCAACATGAAACAGATCAGCAGCAACATGATATGGTTTTTCACAGTGATTATTCTAGTTAGAGATTCATGAGTCTAACAGCCTCAGGGTAGAAGCTGTTCCTCAGTCTAGTGGTTCTACACTTAATGCTCCTCAACCTCCTTCCTGAGGGGAGTGGGGCAAAAAGTGTGTGTGCTGGGTG